GCTCGCTCCTCGCTGCCGCCGCTCCAAACGTGACGTCCGCCTGTCACGTCAGTCGTGTTGTCTCGTCCTGTGACGACCAACTGTCTTGGTGTCGGTCGCGGCACTCAAATGTGACGTTCTACCCTTTTTGTGATTCGGATGGGAATCTGGTTAGATTCGATATCAGCCTCGTCGTTCCCAACTCGCTTCCAACGTCTGGTTACCAAAGTAACTGCACTGATCTCCAGTCTGCCTACCCACGTTGTGAATTGATCTTAGGCAGACGAGATCAATCAGTAGTTGGGGCCGTAATGCAAATCGGGTTCAAACGGGGGTGGCACCGCACAAATATGCATAAAAGAAAATAAAATGATAACTCAAAAATTCAAGGTATCAAAAAAAAGGATAACAAACTTTATGTCTAGTTGTTGGATACATAGGACTGCGTCTATTTCCCGAGCCGTTCTATGGATTGTGACACGTTGTTTTCCGTTAGGCGAGTTTTAACGGTTCAAGTTGTTTGCTCTTTAAGTCGCTCTTCAAATTAATTGTTCTTGGATTGAAGAGGAGTCCGGAATTTGCGTGAATCTTGGTCAGCCAATGCGAGGCTTGCTTCAACTGGAGACTGACTCTGGGAAATGACTCGAACTCAACTGATCTCTGCTCGCTGCGACCTCGCTTATATGGACGCCGACCAAAACCGGGGTGGGTTTGTCGGCGCCGGGGGGTCCTCGATAATTCTAAATACATATCCACCTCTTTTATTTCTGGTTAGGAATTTTCCACTTTTTTTCCATTTTTGGGAGCCTTCTCTTACTCCCACCTTCTCACCATACTTCAGAGGGGCGTGAACTGTCCTCCCCACTTCTTCGTAGCAACCTCTCATACCCATCCTCTAGATGGGCGGTGACAGCCTCCTCCGTGCGTCACGTGATCACCACTCGACCAATGATGTCTAGACGGGCGTGTACGATCCCGCGGCTTTGTTTCAGGAAAAAAAATATCTTGCTTAACAAAAAAAAAATTATCTTTTTTTTTTCCTTTTCTTTCTTTTAATCGCAGTTATCATTTTCTTTAGCCGCAAACAGAACAATACGATCGATGGTGGTCATAACTCTTGTTCTCACCTGGGCTTCGTCAGTCATCTCATCGCTAATTATCAGAATGGGTGGCCTTTTTAACACGGCCAGACCGTCGCCTCGACAAGAAACATTTCTAGGTTCCCATTCATTTTTTCGGTACACATTTCTGATAACATAGTTTTATTATCGCAGGCTAAAGATGTTCTGTCGAAAGAAATCGGTCAGTGGCCACCTCGTGTGCGGCTTTTGACACAATTAATTTTTCATATCTATCCAAAGCCCTCTAGTCCACCTGTTTTTCGTCACTTATCAAAATAACATTTTCATTTGGATTTTTCTTTGGCTAGTCGGTCTGTGGTTTGCCAATCAGATGCCTTCCCGCATTAGCGGTTTGTTTATGTATCCCAATAACACTGCCCGTCGTCAGAACACACCCGATTCTTTTATCCACTCAGAATTATTTTTTCATTGTAATGATACTCTTCGCCATTTGTTATTTATCAAAATATCCTTTATCCTTTGTCTCTTAGCCGTGGGTGTTCTGCCTATCATCCACGCTTTGGGTCTTCGCCTCTCTTTTCTTTTATTTCCTTTCTTTTCTTTTTCTGCCTTGGTAAATGGTGCCACAGTAAGATGAATATTTTACTTACATCTCAAAATCTTAATACTTTGTTGTTGCCTTTCTTGAAGTTCCATAGGCAACTAAAATATGGTTCTAGAAAAGGCTTCTGAGAGTTTAATGAATGGAATTATCAATAAAGACGTTCCAAAGAAAATGGAAACAAAAAAGACACTTATATTCAACATTGGAAAGTTATTGGATATAAAATGAGGGAGGAGAGCTTGGAGAATTTGATACTCACTTGACATATCTAAGCAAGTAATAAGTGGGAAATTTCGTTCAAAATAAAGAAAAGTGTGTTAAACAGTTGTCTTATACTAATATTTCTATATGGGAAAAAAGCTGAACAATTTTCTCAATTGAAGAAAAGTGTTATGAATTTTTAATGCAATTCAAAATGGCAGTAAATTCAGAAGAGACTTTATTTAACAGAAAAAGTAAATTCTCAGCAAAACGACACTATCTCTGCCTCTCCACATAATGTCGCACTCCCCAGAATGCAACAGAATTTAAAAAGAAAAAAAAAATGTTTATTTATGTACAAGAAATTTGCATACAAAACATTAATTTACATAAAGACGAATATGCATAGCACATTGACATAACACCCTCCTCTCCTGCAGGAAGAAGAAGAATATTTGACTCACATAAAAACAACTTCATACTTTGTTGGTGCATTTCGTTTTCTTGAAGGCATCCGTAGGCAACTGAAATCTGGTTCTAGAGAAGGCTTCTGAGAATTCAATGAATGGAATTATCAATAAATAAGTCCTAGAGAAAATGGAAACAAAAATACACTTATATTCAACATTGGAAAGTTATTGGATATAAAATGAGGAAGGAGAGCTTGGAGAATTTGATACTCAGTGGACATATGTAAGCAAAAACTAAGTGGAAAATTACAGTAATGCGACTACACATGCGCACGAACAAGTGATGCTGGCAATTTTAAATTTAAAAATAATGTTGTTTTTAAATAATGTATTTTTGGTATATAATCTGGCTGATTTATTTTTTATATTCTTTTTGCTTATATTTCCATCAGTTTTGTTATTAAATATCACCAACTATGAGGAGAGAAGAGCAGCAAATCCTGTTGAAACGTTGTAAGAACAGCAATGCAAAATTACTGTAGATGATCTTGCGATTAAAGAACTTTCTAAATATTTTCGTATCAGTAAATGATTTTCCCTTTTAATTAGCATTTTTTAAATCAAAATTTTGAATTGTGGACGTGATTTGAAAATAGCAGTAAGACGGAGCGGCATTGACCTTAAGAAAGGCTTTATTAAGAAAAAAAAAATAACCTCAGCAGAACGGTACCATTTATGTCTTTCCAGTTTGATTGAAACATATCATCATCATCATCATTATCATCACCAACCTCCGGATCGCCATCATCAGCATCGCCATCATCATCATCATCATCATCATCATCATCATCATCTTTCTTTATTATCATGAGGAGGGCGCTTGTCGTGGGATCGTTGCGCAGTTGAGAAAGTAGCCACTCGTCCGCGAATTTGAAGAGATGGACCCGTGAGTATCGGAGGTCATTAATGCAGAAAGGGAACGTTATAGGCTCGGCTAGAATTCAACATCGGCTCACGGACGCCATCAGTGATAGTCTTTATGTCATCAGACCACTTTAAGCCAATAAGGAAGACAAAATGATCAGTAAAAATGGAACTTAATCAAAATTTAGAACAGTTCTCAAAAATACTTTTAGAAATGGCGCATTTTTTTTTTCTGTTTTCGAAAGCTAATAATTTTAGGTGAAAGAAATATGACAAAACGGAAAAACAGTTTTTTTTTTTTTCTGTAAAGTGTTTCATCTTTTAGACCTCATCGGAATAACATTATATTTCCATTGATGCGACTACGCATGCGCATGAACAAGTGACGCTAGAAATTTTAAATTTAAAAATAATGTTTTTTTTTTAATAATGTATTTTGGTATATAATCTGGCTGATTTATCTTATATTCTTTTTGCTTATATTTCTATCACTTTTGATATTAAATATCACCAACTGTGACAAGAGAAGAGCAGCAAGTCCTGTTGAAACGTTGTAAGAACAGCGATGTAAAATTACTGTAGATGATGTTACATTTAAAGAATTTTCTAAATATTTTCGTCTCAGTAAATCATTTTCTCTTTTAATTAGCATTTTTTTAAATTAAAATTTCGAACTGTGGACGCAACTTAAAACATCATCAAGACGAAACGGTATTGAACTTAAAAATGCTTTATTAATAAAAAAAAAATCTTAGCAGAACGGCGCAGTTTTTCTCTATATAATGTCGCTCTCCCCAAAATAAAGCAGTATCTAAAAAGAAAAAATGTATGTTCATTTATGTTCAAGAAATATGCATGCAAAACATTAATTTACATAAGGACGAATACGCATATCACATTGACATAACACAACCCTCTTCTGTAGGTAGAAGAACATTTGACTCACATAAAAAATCATACTTTGTCGGTGCATTTTGTTTTCTTGAAGACATCCGTAGGAAACTGAAATGTGATTCTACAGAAGGCTGCTGAGAATTGCATGAACGGAATTATCAACAAAGAAGTCCTAATAAAAATGGAAACATAAATGACACTTTTATTCAATATTGGAAAATTCCTGGATAGAAAATGAGGGAGGAGAGCTTGGAGAATTTGATACTCACTTGACATATCGAAGACAAAAGGGACAGATGGAAGTAGCGGGCCACTTTCATGACGAGCTTCTGTGATAGAGTAATGGAATGGTGGATGGGAGAACTGAAAAAAAAAAAAAAATTTACAAAGTACTTCAAGGGACAGAAAGTTGTGGAGAGCCATGATCGTCTATGATCTGATAAAAAGACGTAGAAGAAGAAAATATAGGTTTGACTATTTCTTTCTGTTTAAGTTATGATGACGTCATTTCTGTTGTCTTTCTACACGGCAGCCATGATTTTTGACAGGCCAGTGTTATATGAATTGCACTAGTGGCAGTATTACACGTCCTATCAATAATGTTACTAATATTAGTATTAAACGTTATACATTTCCTTCCCATGTGTTTTAATAATATCTTTGCTGCAGATCCGGCAAAAGAAGTTTATATAATCTTATTATTCGGCAGCAAGATGGCGCCCTTAAAGCGAGAAGGTTGTGGCCGAAGAAAAAATGAACAAGAATAAAAATATCGATGATGAATGATTATGCGTTAGTTTAGATTACTTTTCTTCTTTAGGCATTTATCTTTTTGCTTTTCGTCTTGTTTTTTTTTCCACCATTTTTAGACACATTTGCTGGTTTTATAGTTACTTTTCCTTTCGTTTAGTTTACCCATTGCTTAAATTCAGTGAAAAGATAGAAGCAGAGATAAAATGAAAGCGAATGGTACAGAAGTAGAATCAATAAAGCAGAATCGCTAAGAAGAAATCGATGAAGAGGGAAAAGATACGAAGATAAGAAAAGAAAAAAAGAGCCCCCAAAAAGAAAGGAAGAATGAAACTATAATTATTAACAAATAAGAAAAAAAGGTATAAAAAAGAAATAAATAAAGAACGCAAAAAGAAAAAAGAAAGAAAGTAAAAAATGAAACAAAGAAAAAAAAGAAGCAAAGCGAAAACAAACAAATGAAAAAAAGAAAGAAACAAACAAGGAAGGAGAAAGAAAAAATAAACAATGGAAAAAGAAGGAAACGAAGAAAGAAAGGAGATAAAAAAGAAACAAAAAGAAAGGAATGAGAAACAAAGAAAGGAAAAAAGAAAGAAAGGTAAAAAGAAAGGATAAAAGAAAAGAAAGAATAGGACGAAGAAAGAAAGAATAAAAGGCTGAAAACGGTGATAATGTAAAATGGAGCACAAAGAAAGAAGAAAATAAGAAAGAAAAAGATTTTTTAAATTTAAAAATAAAACGCTGAAATTAAATTCTAGTAAAACTTATTAAGATGAACTAAACGAAAGAACGAAAAAAGAGAAAAAAAGAGGAATGAAAGAAAAGGATTAAATAATGAGAGAAAGAAAAATAAATAAAAGAGAAAAGAAGAAACTAAAGCATGCTCGAAATAAATAAAGAAAGAAAGAAAGAAAAAAGAAAGAAAGAAAGAAAGAAAAAGGATATAAAAAAGTAAAAATAAAGAAAATATGAAAAAAAATAAGGGATGTAAAATAAAGGAACAAGGATGCGATGGTGATATAAAGATGGAGAAATGACCGACGGAAAGAAATAAAAAAGAAAGCATGACGAAAGGAAGAAAGGGAAAAAAACAGATAAAAATATAGAAAAGAAAGAAAGAAAGAAAAAAGGAAGGAAAATAAACAGCAGACGAGAAAACAATAAAAAATGAATGAAATACAGTAAGAAAGAAAGCTAAATACTAAAAAGAAGGAAAAGAAATTAATAACACACGAGAAATAGTATCAAAGAAAGAAATAAAAAGAAAGAAAGGAAAATAAAACAAACAGATGACACAAGTAAAAAGAAAGACTGTAATACAGAAAGAAAGAAAGAAAAAAGGAAAAAGAGACGAAAGAAAGAACGAAAGAATGAATGAAAGAAATATACTAAAATAAAGAAAAAATAATCGCAAGAATCTGGCAAAGAAAGAAAGAAAGCAAAAAAAGAGAGGAAAGAATGATACATATGAATACGGAAGGGAAAAAGTAAAGATGAAACGATATGAAGAAAGATAATGGCAATGAACAAAATATAAAAGTAATGAAAGAAAAAAGACAAAAGAATGAACCAAAGCGAACGAAAGAAAAAAGAATGAAATAAAAACGAAAGAAAGAAAAAGAGTGAAGGGAAAACGAAAGAAAGAATGAAAAATGAATGAGGCGAAAACGAAGGAAAGAAAAATGAATGAGGCGAAAACGAAAGAAAGAAAATGAATGAAGCGAAATAAAGAATGGAGTGAAAAAGAAAGAAAGAAAGAAAGAAGTGAAAACGAAAGAAAAAAGAACGAAAGAATGAAATGAAAGACAAAGAAAGAATGATGCACAAACGAAAGAATGAAAAACAAACGAATGAAAAATATGAATCGGAAATAAATGAAAGAAAAAAGCATGAAACGAAAAATGAAACAAAGAAAAAATGAAGCAACACTGAAAGAAAGAAAGAAAAAGAATGAAGCAAAATGAAAGAAAGAAAAAATAATGAAGCGAAACGTAAGAAAAAATGAATGAAGCAACAATGAAAGAAAGAAAGTAAAAAAAAGAATTAAGCAAAATGAAAGAAAGAAAAATCAATGAATGAAGCGAAAAAGAAAGATAGAAAAAGAATGAAGTGAAAAAGAAAGAAAGAAAAAAGAATGAAGTGAAAAAGAAAGAAAGAAACATGGGTAGAAAATGGAAGAAAGAATGTAAAAAGAATGAAGCAAAAACGAAAGGAAAAAACGAATGCAAAAACAGTGTAAGAAAGAAAGAAAAAGAATGAAGCCAAAACAAAACAAAAAAAGATGAATGAAGAAACAATGAAAGAAAAAAAAGTAAAATATAGAAAATACAAAAACAAATAGATAACATTGAAAACTAAAAACACAAATAAAAAGTAAGAAATGAAAGAAACAAAAAGAAAGCAACAAAGAAATGATACAGAATGATATAGAATGAAAATAAAATAAGAAAAAAATGATATAAAACATGACATGAAAAATTAAAAAAAAAAAACAAGAAATAAAGTATTGAAGGAAAAATATAAAAACTGAATGGATGAAAAAAAAAGAGAGAAAGAGAGACTATGAAAAGCGTGAATATAGAAGATTCTAAACTCAATAAGTCGAATATTGTATGAAGTTTAGAAAATTACAATGACTCCATCCCCAGTGGATTAATTTCTTTCCTTTTGAAGATCGTTTTCCATTGCAGGACATTGAATATTTATATTTACCATTCGACATTCTACGCGTCTTAACGTTGTTCACGGGAGACATTGACAGCCGATGTTTCTTCTCTTCATTTTCAAAAAGTCTTTCAAGCAGACGACATAGGCAAACGTTTAAAGACGTTCCAATAAAACCCGTTTGAATGAAAAATATCAAAATATTTTTTTTCCTTTTTAGAATAGAGCCAATGACCAAAATCGACGTTTTAGTTATAAAACTGTCTCGTAAAATAAAATGAAATATAATAATAAACAAGGGGGATTTTAATACGTAATTTGTCACGTTTACAAAGGGTTTATGATAGTAAATCATCTATTCGAAAATAAGTCTGTTGTTAAGTCCTTTGGGTAAATTTAGGGATATGGATCTGACTGGTCATTCTTGAGCAAGTGTCGACATTCTTAGAGCGAGTGGAAGTGACTTTTTTAAAATTTTATACTGATCTTTCAATTTTACTGTTGGTGATATAATGGATAGCAGTTCGAAACGTAAATTCAGAAAACCAAGTTCGAATCCTACTCGAGTTATTTACGTTCACTTACGCGCAAATACACTAGTAATAGCGTAGGAATCCATTTATTGCTTCCACCCCAGCTAGGACTTAAAAATAATTTTGTCTTCAATCACCACAAACGTCACATCGTAGCGAGACTATATTAGAGCAATGCAGTTAAATATCTCTAAAAGAAAATTCCAGTTCAAGTTGTTTCATTATAGTAATCGTGAAACACTGTCTTCGATGGTCAGGATATGTAGAATGAATAGAAGGGTCAGGGTTTCCCCGTCAAGTCTTATTCAGCAAACTCAGTTCAGGAAAAAGACTATGGAGTTATGCTCTTCGAAGATACAGGGACCAATTGAAAACAACACTGAAGTCCACTGGACTCTGGGACCTAATCCGTTTGAAGAACAAGCCGGAGACCGTACCAACTGGCGGTGTGCTATCACCAACGAAACAAAAATTTCGAAGACACCTGAAGAGAAAAAGAAAAGAAAAGAGACGAGAGAAAAAATCGACAATATCAACCTCGTCTTCCAGCAAATTTACCAAGCGGTCAGTTCTATCGACTCTTCCATACTGGAACTGGTGTTCTTAGTGATCAAAGCTATCGTTATGAAGAAAGCGATCAGCAAGGAAGAAATTAAATTCTTGGATACAAGATAAAGCCGACAAGAGACGACGACGACTAATAGTCATTCAGGCCTTTGAATACTCGCTAGGATAATAAAAATTTTATGTTTGCATAGATTTGTATTTACTCAACCGCCCCCCACACCTCACGAGATCAGTTTGTGACACAAGGTTGGTTTAATGTGGGGAGCCTGAGCGCGTACTTCCGGGCTAGAAACAAAAATTCCCGAGTCCCAGCAACCCTCGGAGGATGATAAATAGAGTGTTACAAACTACTCGAGAGAGAAATTTACACACTGTTTGCATAGATAATGATTTCATGTTTGCATTTTATACTTTTCTTGTCAATGCTGATAACGAAAAGAAAGACAGGTTGTGTAAATAAAATATTTGCTCATTTTCGTAAAATATTTTATTAGATATTTTATAAAGAAATCCCAGGTGTAACAGCAAAATTGTCCAAAACGTGTTCCAACATAATTATTCATCCCACAAAATGCGAATATGTAAAAAAAAAAAACACTAAAAAGATAAAGTTTCTTTTTTTCAGTTGAGGCGTTTTGCCATCTTGACACCATTTGTAGTAAGAATCACAGTAAACCCTTTGAGTTATTCACCTGAGATAGAGAAAAGTTTAAAAACACTTTTGTGTAAACCCCACTATACCTTCCTACATGGACAATTGGGAGAGAAAAATCATTCGGGCCTTTGAACATGCATACTCCTGCTTCCATCTTCAAATTCCAAGTACCATCAAGTAAACGGTGAATAAGTTTAAAAAAGAAGGAACAGCAGAGAGGAAAACTGGATCAAGAGGTCAGAACAGGAAGAGGATCATGATTACAATTTAGAGAGATCAGCTAGAAAAGATCCAACTCATTTCATAAGACTTTGCCATGTGAGAGAGGAGTTTCAGCTAAGCAATGAAAAAACCTTAAATCGTACGTGAGACATTTTGTTACTCCTCGAAAGAAAATTAAAAGGTAAGAGACGGCAAAGTTCATCTTGAATAAGTTGGTAAATGATCCCATAATATATATATATATATATATATATATATATATATATATATATATATATATATATGTGTGTGTGTGCATGATTCATTAAAACAACAGGCTTTTTTATGTAATTTTTCTTGTGTTCGAACACAAGAAAAAAAATAAATAAAAGCTTAACCGTAGTACCTTGTCTGTCGTTTTTAAAGAGACATGCATAAACGAATGATTGCTGCCTATCGCGACATCAGAAAAATAATTAATTTCAGTTTGACTGACGCTATGTGATAAAAATACCGTAATATTTTTTTTCACTGTGCAGTGACACATTCGGATGTGGGTGATGTATCAAAATATCCACTACTTCATTTGTATCTTTTTCTCATCTTACCTTTTCTCTCGGTCATTGTATTGCAATCAGTTTTAATAAAAAAGTTACTTCTTAGTGCGATCGCTACAAAACTATGAATGAAATGGCCTCGGATAATGGCTGTCGGTCTTTCAACAATCTCGGGCCATTGGCAAGCTGAAGAGTCTCGATAAATGGGCTCCTTATGAAGTTATATAGTTCAACGTTTTGTAGTGTGTTTGTATGTGAAGAATTCGAATGGTACATTTCTTTATTGAATAATAACTTATAATGAGAAATGACTCCTTTATGATAATTGTAAATAGCCAGCGCAATGCATTGGCGATGACAAAGAACGTAAGCATTTACTAAAACCGCAATTGCACCACCAGAAGATTATGGCGACTGTCTGGAAATCCATCATTGGCGTTATCCATCACAGATTTCTGGAATCTAACAAGAACTTCACTACCGATGTTTAATTTTACTACCAGGAGCTGGATGAACTGCACATTCTGACCACCACTTGTTAATTGATGAATACGCTTCTAATTTCCAATAATGCTCGGCCACTTGTCGCCATGATGAAATTGCAAATCTCACCGACGTGAGAGTCGAGACTGTGGCATCCAGCATATTTTGTTAATAACTTGCTCACTATGTCGTTAAACCCAAAAAACAACATTCAGTTTCAAAGATGCAGAAATTGCATTCAAGGTTTCTTTGCCGTTCAAACGTTCAGAGTCAAAAATAAACTTTTATCTTGATGGCACAAATGTATAGATGTTCAGTGTTCCTATTTCGACTGATTTAAACAATATTTGTTCAATGCTGCATAAACGAAATTCAAATGATAAATTTCTTGATCAAATTCTGATGAAAAATAGATCCTCTATGACAATCAGAAATGTTCGGCTCACTGGCTTGTTCCTGAGGAATGACCCGAACATTTTCCAAAACCAAAATGGCACCAAAAGAAGATTATGGTAACTATCTGGTGGTTCAGCATTAGCGTTTTCCATTAGAGTTTTCTGGAGAAATTTAGTGCCAGCTGCTGAATAAAATGCGCATAGAGTCAAGTAAAATGTGACTGACACTGGCCAAGCGACAAGGTCCAATTCTGCTTCATGAATGCTCAGCCCAAAGACATTCCATTGCTAAGAAGATATAGATATAGAAATTGCATTCAAAGATTTCTTGTTGTCCAAACCTTTAGAGTTCTATCATAAAGGCATAAAATGTTAACTTGGTGGTAGAAATGAAAAGATGTTCAGGATCCATATTTTGACTGAATTAAACACTAAATACATTCATTTAGGAAGAAAAGTTGAAACATTATTTTCAAAACAACCCAATAGATATAGATCCCTGAGGAGTTACATGAGGGTGAAGTTAATATTTTTTTTCATTTATAAAATATTAAAATATCTCATCCTTTTTAAAAGGAATTTCTATAAATGAGTTCCACATGAACTCATTGAAAGCCAAAGAGTTCAATATTTTGAAATTTGTTCAATGCTGCAAATGCAGAATTCAAATGTTAAATTTTTTGATCAAATTATGATGAGGAATGGTTCCTTTATCAAAATTATAAATGTTTGGCTCAATGGTTTGATTATGACGGAAGACCCAAACACTTTGCAAAACCAAAATGGTACCAAAAGAAGATTATGGTAACTGGTATTCGAGCATTCTGGAATCTAACCAGAACATCGTTGCCAAAATTTACTGCCAGCAACTGAATGAAATGCCAATTCAGTCAAGCAAACTATGACTGGCACTAATCAAGCGAAACAGTCCAATTCTCCTTCATGAAAGCTCGGCCACTTGGTGCTCAGATGATACGACAGAATCTCACCAACTTGTGAAAAGAGATTCCTAACAATTTTTTAAGCCCAAAGACATTCCTTTGTTAGAAGATAACGAAATTGCATTCAAAGATTCTTTATTGTCCAAACCTTTAGATTTCTATCATAAAGTGCAAAATAAACTTTTAACTTGGTGGCAGAATTGAAGAGATGTTCAGGGCTCATATTTTGACTGAATTAAACACTATTTAAATACATTAATTCAGGAATAAAATGTGAAACATTATTTTCAAAACAACCCAACAGAAATAGATCCCTGACGAGTTACATGAGGGTGAAGTTAATTTTTTTTCAAGTATAAAATATCAAAATACCCCATCCTTTTTAAAAGAAATTTTAGAGTTTTATTCACTGCATTTATGTTTGGTAAATAGAAATGTCACAGAAAATGGGTGTCAGCATTTCAACAATGTCAGAACATCTCAAGAAATTTCTCAAGGTAAAGAATCTCTATAAATGGTTTTCACATGAACTCAGTGAAAGCCAGAGTTCAATATTATGAAATTTGTTCAATGCTGCAAATGCCAAATTCAATGATAAATTTCTTGATCAAATTGTGATGAGAAATAGATCCTTTATGACAATCAAATATTTGGCTCAATGTCTTGATCACGAGGAAGGACCCGAACACTTTCCAAAACCAAAATGGCACCAAACGAAGATTATGCTAACTGGTAGTTCACCATTGGCGTTATCCATTACAGAATTCTGGAATCTAACCAGAACATCATTGCCAATATTTACCGCCAGCAACTGAATGAAATGTCAATTCAGTCAAGCAATGTGTAACTGGCACTGGCCAATAGACACGGTCCATTTCTGCTTCCTGAATGCTCGGTGACATGGTGCCCAGATGATACGACACAAGCTAACTGAATTCTAATAATATATCTTCATTTTTTTATTTCCTTTTCCTAATAGGTATTTGAAGTGTTTAACAACCTGATTTTTATTAATGGATTCAGGAAACGTCCTACGATTCCTTTCGTTTAAATTCCAGATCACCCTTACATTTTTCTTTTTGAAAGGCTTATCTCTTTGTCCTATTGCTTGGAACCTTTTTGCATTTTCTGTTCAAGATTAATCTTATCCCAACTATGAATACTATGAATACCATTTCATAGTATCCATGTGAGTGTTAAACTTTCCAAGCTCACTTTCCTAATGATAAGTCCCAGAAATTTCCACCTGCAAAGAACATTACCAAATAGTAAATATATCTGAGTCTAGAGGTAAATAAACGTCCTTTCTTTCTTGATTTTATTGCTCAATATTTCTTGGGTTTATACTTGAGTTTGCAAAAATTCAAAAGAAAAATTGGCACCAATTTTGTGTTCATTTGATTTCTATTAATACATTAAACTATTTGGTGTTTTTAATTTTTTCTTTCTTTTCGTTTGGTTTGTTTTACGGCATATCAAACTCAATGGGTTATTTAATGCCGACAAGATTTTGATTGCTGCTAACATTTTTTTCCAAAAATGTATTGCTGGTAACGTTTTTTTCTTCAAAAATCTATTGCTGCTAATATTTTAGTCTTCAAAAATGTATTGCTACTAATATTTTTTTCTTTAAAAATGTATTGCTACTAATATTTTTTTCTTCAAAAATGTATTGGTACTAAAATTTTATTCTTCAAAAATGTATTGCTGCTAACATTTTTTTCTTCATAAATGTATTGCTACTAATATTTTTTTCTTCAAAAATGTATTTCTACTAATATTTTTTCTTCAAAAATGTATTGCTGCTAATATATTTTTCTTCTTTTTTTTTTGTATCATCGGTAAATTTACCAAATTTCATTTTCACTTTTTTGTTTTTCCCGATTACTTTTGAAATATAATACATCCGTTTATTTAATTCTATTTTGTTAATTCCGTCGTTCCCTGCTTGGCTGGAAGCAAAATTCAATCCATTCAATGTATTACTGAAGTGTGTTTAAAAAATTTAAACAATACACTTTGACTACTTGTAAATGAAGTCACCTTGTGTAACTTGAATTTTTTTCCCAGAAAGCAAGAGAACGATGCTTTTGCTTTGGTTTGGTTTGACATATCAACACCTCAATGGGTTATTTAATACCGACAAGATTTTTAGTGCTGGTAAGATTTTTTTCAAAATGTATTTCTGGAAATATTTTTTTTTCCAAAAATGTATTGCGGGTAATAATTTTTCTTCAAAAATTCATTGCTGTTAATATTTTTTTACAAGAATGTATTTTTTTGTATGAAAAAAAATGAAACTTTCATAGTGTTTTGATTCCTGTTTGGGGGTTAACTATTTTCCCATAGTTGGGACCCTAACAGATGTTCCAACCGTGGAAATACCAGCAATAATATTTCGTTCCACGATCCTCAAAACATCCTGATCCGAAGCCTTGCTGTTGGACGTGGCTTATCGTCTTACCCAGGACACGAATATAGTTTATCGTCATAGCCAAGACGATTTTTTCGATAATTAGCAGTGTGAATAAGCAATCGTAAAATGGTTAAATATAAGATTTCAACCTATGAAAACCTCTTTACTTAGGCTATCAGATAATCGATATCAGATAATCGATATTTGAGCAAGAACGTATAAAAGTCGATATGATTTTTCAAAGTATTATACGTTCTGTTTGAGTAGTTTAAATAGTTTACAGCTTATCACTACTATTTTTAAAGCATTTCACCCAAACCAAAAAAAAAAAAAAAAAAAAATGGCATCAGAACCCAAGGGATCCCTGGACTGAAATACAATGAGAAGATTTACTGATACAACAAATCGAAAGATATTTTTACAGAGAAGTGAGACATAAGAAAATATTCGAAAAGAACATACCGTTGCATTTAACTGGTTCGACAGTAAAAAAAAAAAAGTGGGACCTAATTGCCAGATACACCCGACAGGAAGACCTCTGATCAGGAGGTTTCGAGGAGCATGTAACCAACTCTTAATTGCTGGTGTTCCCAGCTCAACCGTAACCCGGGCCGCAGCACCTGTTAGTCCCCCAGCTCTGGGCAAATAGTTAACCCCCAGACTGGGGTCAAAACGTATAAAAATAATTTTTAATATCAGCAATATATTTTTGTAAAAAAAATGTTACCAGCTATTAATTTTTGAAGAAAAAAATATGAGAATTTACATTATTACCAACAATACGTTTTTGAACAAAATATTACCAGAAATATATTTGAAAAAAATATTACGAGTATTGTCGGCATTAAATATCCAATTGAGGTTGATATGCCATAAAAAATATCAAACCAAACCAATATATACTGAAATAGATAGATAGATAGATAGATAGATAGATAGATAGATAGATAGATAGATAGATAGATAGATGAAAAATATTACCACCAATAAAAATCTTGTCGGCATTAAATAACAAATTGAGGTTGATATGCCACAAAACAAACCAAACCAAACCAATATATACTGAAATAGATAGATAGATGAAAAATATTACCAACAATAAAAATCTTGTTGGCATTAAATAACCCATTGAGGTTGATATACCATAAAACAAACCAAAACCTAGTTGCCAATGTAGCAGTAGGCTTAAATTCATGTAGGCGTGAAATGAGGTATGAAGGCTCATCACAACAATTACCATGAAAATATTTGTTGAAAAAAAACAGAGTGAATTAACGTCAACACATTGAGTATGTATCTGAAATGGAGATGCCAGGCTAGGATGGATTACATTATAGATATTTCGTTGAATTTTATGAAGAATCTCGCGATATCTCGTCGGTAACAGCTGACCAGATATATCAGCAAAATTCAATGCCCGTAATTATGATAGATTTATAAATGTTCAAGATGATTCTGTCGAGAAAAATTTTCTGGAACGCCACATTGAACTAACTTTCCTAACATCAGACGTAACAGTTGATTCAATATAATCACTTCACGGTACATCAGTGAAAGACGTGATTCCAAGAAGGAGTAAAGAGTTACCCTACTGGGGGTTCCTAACAGCCATGCTGATGATAGCCAGGAAACGTTCTCTATGATGATTAAATAAAAGCAGTTTAGTCTTGGAGGTGTGGAAAAATACAAGCCATAATTTCCCTCAGCTAGCCACTATATATCTGTATATTTTATTTCTATTTTTAAAATCTAAAATAAAAAGAGGGGGGTAGGATTTATATCCTAACTCTTTTTGGGGGGGGATTTAAAAAAAGAGTGCGTATCAAACATAGGATATTTTTACATCAGTTAGCTTCAATAACTTGGAATGAAAATGAAATCTGATCTTAGGAAACTGATTAGACCTTTGTAAGGTTTTGAAATTGTAACAATTGACTCCATGTCCGAAAATAATTTGGATAATGAATTACTTGAAAGCGCCATATTTGAATGGTTGGACGAGTTTTGCGCAGAGATATTCCTGGTTTGCTATTTGCATCCACACTGAACAAATAATCAGCAAGTACATTTGGCCTAATGTTATCCGCGGTTTCACAGTGCGCAGTTTCATTTATTCGCAGTCAGAAGAAAAATTGTACAAGCTATAGATTCTATTTAATAATAGTCAGAAAGCGTCAAGGTATTGATGCGGTAAAATGGAGAACTCTTAAAGTGCCTGAAAAAGTAGAAGGAAATAGATACAGTATAAATATCCTCGTTAAAGCCGAAACCTAATTCCCTCACCCTAATTCTTATTCCAGAATATTGTAATAATTGTCCCATTTTACGATTTCTATTGATAGATTACTTGGGTTTCTGCAGCTTATCTAGCATTTCAAGATTATTAAAAGCTAAAAACAATTGGAAGATTATTTTTTTAATTTTAATTTTTAATTTTAATTTTAATTTAAATTTTTAATTTTAATTTTTCAATTTAAGCAAATGCTCTGTTTATGATAAATGTTATTTAATACTGTTTATCATAAACAGAGCATTTGCTTAAATACTTGTATCTATAAAATAACAACGTTAAACATAATAAAATGTCTTTAATTAATAAATTGTCCATTTCTTAACATATGACGTCATTTGTTTACATTCGATACGCCAGAGCAGTTATGAATGTACGAGATTCATGGAAAATTGGAGTTTATAAGCAGTAAATTCGACCTTGTCTACCGAACGCTTCTTTGTAGCCTAGCGGTAAGGTACGTATAGGATGCAGGTTCGAATCCTGTCAAAGAACGAATATTTTCTATGAAAATTTCTCGGACATTCAGGCCGGTAAATGTTATTTAATACTGTTTATCATAAACAGAGCATTTGCTTAAATACTTGTATCTATAAAATAACAACGTTAAACATAATAAAATGTCTTTAATAAATAAATTGTCGGACCTTGTCCATTTCTTAATATATATATATATATATATATATATAAATGAAAATTGAAGTCAACACTCATAGGCGTCAGGCTCTTTCATGCTGGACGCAATCGTCTCTGATATTGAGCACTTTATCCCAGGAATATAGCACACCTTATAACTAGCATTAATTCAAAAGAGTGCAGTTTAAAAACTATTTATTATAATTTATATATATGGACAAAAACAAATTGCTCACTACAAAGATGCATTTGATCTGATTTTGGTTCTCAACAGTTGCGATGCAGCCGCATCGAAACAAGAATGCATCTTTTGTAGTGATCTAGTTGTTTTTTGTTCGTATGTAAAAATTACGACATATATATATATATATATATATATATATATATATATATATATATATATATATATATAGCGAGAGAGAGAGAGATAAAAGAGAGATGTATGCATGCATATCTGTATGTTTGTGTATGTATTACGTTGAATATGACGGCGCAGGAATATAACAATCTCGTTTATAAGTTCCCTGTGGGACTGTAAAAGCCATCAATAAATATAAAACTTACAAGGAAGGCATTGATCACACGACATGTTCTCTAAGCAGGCAAATAAACAACCACTTAATTGATTTTAGCGTGATAAGGAAGCACTTAAACATACACAGCGAACTCCCCATACCTCTAAAAAAAAAAAGGCTTGCAGACGTTTCTATTAAATAAATATCAACAGACACTAAATACTAAATGAAGTAAGGTGTCTTGGCTGTGGTTGGAAACTAAAATAAGAACGCCACTTTGATTTGAAATAACTGACCTAGCAGAGGCTAAACAATACCAAACCCCTGGTTGAGTTCAAACTTTTCAAAAACATACACTATTATTTTGACCAGCTGTTGAATTTTTTTTTTTTTATAGAAAGCTCCCTCTATGCAAGACCCGAGTCCGCTCGAGGTAGACAGTTACGTTATGGATCAGTTTATATGGATAGAGGGGGAAATATAACGGTTATCCCCAAATTGGAACAAGTTAAGATTGTAACGATAAAGGAAACATCCTTTGGGAGCCTGTTCTACAGAGCAGTGGTTCACGTGAGAATCTGTTCAAATAGAACTTAGTTCTCACCGATGAATGTTATGCCTGCCGAAACAAAGCAATGTAGTTCTTCCGAGTATTTTCCATAGACGTAGCAATAGAGCAGTGAGAGGATCGGCGCCTAGTGCCTTTTAGAGAGAGAGGTGGGGTGGAATGTGGAAAATGATTCGACAATATCAATGACCTGGTTTGGTTTGGTTTGTTTTGTTTTACGGCATATCAACACCAATGGGTCATTTAATGCCGACAACCTTTTCCCTCGTAATATTTCGTTTTGTCAAAATCTATTTCTGGTAATATTTTTTTTTACTCAAAAATGTATTGATAGTATTTTTTTTTTAAATGTATTTCGGATAATATTTATACGTATTGCTAGTAATAGTTTTTTTCTTCAAAAATTTTTATTTCTGTTAATAATTTTTTACAAAATATTTCTGGTATTAAGACCTATTTAATAATGCTTTTTACCTCAGTTTCTTGGTTAACTATTTGCCCATAGCTCGGACCCTAACAAGTGTTACCACCCCGCGGCAGAGCGGACCTGGAAACACCAGCAATTAAGAGGTTGTCCCACGCTCCTCACAACCTCCTGATCAGAGGCCTTGCTGTTGGACGTAGTTTATCATCTTACCCTGGACGCGGATGTAGTTTATCATCATACTCAGGACGGACAAGAACCTGGAGACTCTTGTAAACTCTATCGAAACGAGAAAGTGAGGATTGTATTTTAAAAGGCATAGAATACAGAATTTTCATAATATTACCCTACATTTCAAAAGTTTCAAGGGACCTCCAGAATTAGCATGGGATGAACTTGAAAGAAGACTGAAAAATAAATGAAAAATAGCTTTTAGAATCATTGAAAATATCGAATCTATTATCAATCTTATACCTCGAGAAACTTCTGCAACGAATGCCAAAAAATTGTACTGCGGTAATCAAGACTAAAGGAGGATACTTTGACGAGAGCCAAATTTAATCATATTTTTTGTCATAATACAATTTCTAATAAAAAAATCATATCACATTTTTTTTTTAACTATGTATCATTTTCTCTTATTTAAAATGCAAAACAACTACATTTGGGGCCAATTTAAAAAAATAATAATCAGGGTTGGCCGCAAAATTTTCACGGCAATTTATATGTTTATAACAGCATGTCAAATGCATCAACCTGCTCCCCGCGTTGGTCATTGATGCACCTGGTGAGGCATTTCTTTGCAGGGCTTGTCATGCAAAGATTTAACACCGTAAAACATGGTCTTAAATGCGATTTTTAATTATGCCAAGAGTAGAAAAAAATGATAACTCTGGAATGTACACCGAAAATAAATATATAGATACCAACTAGAATCTACCCGTTCGCATTCTACTGAGAAATAAAAACAAAATTTCCCACACCAAAACCAATGTATTCATCATGGGCCCTGCTTCCTATTCAATTTTAGAAAATTTTGAAGTTAAGAGTGCTGGGCTAGTGAAGCTGTACTCTACATCAAATCAAGGTAAATGCTGAATGGTTTTTATTTGCATATCGCTCTTCAAATGTAAGTCTATAGTTTGGTCTCTAAACCTAAAAAGTAAAACGTGGCTTTTATAAGACTATTGGACTCTACTTTGAGCAATAAAAATGTATAATTACTCTCCAAGGTTAAGAGAGTTATCCTGATGAAATCGATCATAAAAATTTTTAGGCTCCCTAACTTTAACCTTTCAAAAAAGAGAAAACGATTTCAGTATCTGTCTATATTTCTGAGATGAGGTATTATGTACATTATTTATATTATTCGGACTATTGTCCTCATCTTTGTCGCCATATGTATTACAACGTTTCGGCCGTTGTACGCTCCAGCCTTCTTGAGGTGGTTGGAATGTCGAACTGAACCCTTTATTTCGCTCACTGGGGTAGACTGTTTTAGTTCCACGTGCCATGTTTAATGGATGTCAGTTGTCTCCTGCTAATTTCCCTCTGAAAGTTCTCCACTGCCTTAACCGGGTATTGAACTCACACTCTTTGGGTCCTGTCATTGGATCTAATTAACGACATTATCCACTGTATCCTTGAGGACATCTGTGTATGAATTTCTGGGTATGATATACCTAATGTCTTCAGCAACCATTTTTTGCCAGTGCCTATATTGCAATTTTTGCTGCTGTGATTGTATTTTTTTTTTTACCAGAGCTCATATTGCAATTTTTGTTGTTATTATCGCTTTTCTCTGGCACTCCTTATTACTGGTTTCCATACTGTATTCATTTCTATGCTTGGTTGGCTCAGGAGATTTTTGTGGCCTAGCATCTATGCTGATTCCTTAAGTTTACGAATTTTCCAATGGTGATCTTTGTCTATGATCTCAACCTGATCCCACAGAGGACGGTGGTCTCCTTTCTCTCACCACAGGTGTCAGTCACGTCAGATTTCACCACTTCCCCTCGTGCTACAGCTTACAGGTGTTCTTGAAGCCTTACCTTAAGGAGGCGGCCTGAACCCCCCCCCACACACACTTTATATTTATTTCCGCAGTTGCACCGGATAGCGTACACACAGATTTTAGTCATGTTCTCCTCTATAAGGCGGGGGCGTCTTACTCGGGAGAGATATCTGCAAAGTGTCGTCAAGCTTTTGATTTGATTTTAAATTTCCCTAAAAGATCATTTTAACCCCAGTTCCAAGCCATCGCCTGATCATAGTATTGAAACATGAAAGCTTTGGTGTAGAGATTTAATATGTTTTATTATAATCTCTTATTATATATATATATATATATATATATATATATATATATATATATATATAAGTGAACATTGAAGTCAACACATAGAAATGACAGGCTGTTTTATGCTAGACGCAATCGTCAGGCCACCTGAAGATTGCGTCTCGCATGAAATAGGCTGTCGCTTCTAAGTGTTGACTTCAATGTTCACTTTATATTTACATACGCTTTATCTCTGATATTGAGTACTTTATCCCATAGATATAGCACGCCGATATATTTCTTCATATATTTATAAGTATATTATATATATATATATATATATATATATATATATAT